TGCCACAGGTGCCCACCTTTCCAGCGGGCCCGCCCCAGCAGGTCAACCCCTGGAGCACGTCTATGCGGGCCTCCCTCCTTGCTGCCCTTCAGCCCCCTCTCACTAGCGAACCTGTGAGCCAATCGTCCACTCCTTACCTCCAATGCATATCTGCTGTCACTTTTCAGTCCACACCCTCCCTTACCTCCAGTGCCCACCCCTCTTGTCCCCCCTTCTTTCCCTAACTCCCTCCCTCCCTCCCTCCCTCCCTCCCTCCTGCTGCATGTGCCGACAACACATGTATCCCCATCTTCCCCTCCTCTCCCTTCCACCCCCTCCCACCCTCGCTCCCTCCCTTCCACCACGACCACCATGAAGGGATACCACTGGCACTCAGACCCGCTGCACGTGCCGGCCAGGCTCAAGGCGCTGAGGGAAGGCAAAGCAGGGGAGCCCGTGGACCTGCGCCTTGGTACGCACCCCACCCCACCCCTGCTGCTGACATGCTCCTTCCTCTCCCTCTGCCTGCCTGCTTGCCACTATGCTCCCACCTCTCTCTCTTCTTACCTAGGTGTCAGCCATCTCCCTCCTCTCCTGACCAGGCTCTCAGGTATCACTTTCCCTGCTTCCCACGCTCTCTCTGCGCCTCCCTCCCCCACCCGTTCTGCATGCAGCGGGAGCTACCAGGTGGCTCGACTGTTGGGCTAGGGTGCATACGCGAGGGTATATGGCGCCACGGAGACCGCTTCTGGGGCAGCAGACACTGCAGCAAGCAAGCATCTAATCTCCCGGGCTCTTTCTGTTTTTGAGTCGACTCAAAAGCAGATCTCCCGGCTCTTTCTGTGAACCCACCACCCACCCACTCCGCTCTGCAGGCAGCAGGAGCTACGAGGTGGATCGGCTGCTGGGGAAGGGTGCGTATGCAAAGGTTTATGGAGCCACAGAGACCCCTGCTGGGGTGGCAGACGCGGCCACAGAGAGCACTGTGGTGTTCCGCACTGTGGCCCTCAAGGTATGCAGCAGCTCCTTCCTACCCTTGTGTGTGAGTAGATGTGCGGTAGGTTGGTTGTGTGGTGTGCTTAGCAGGTGTGTGCTCAGTGAGTGTTCCAGTTGCATGGGTGCAGCCACAGAGAGCACTGTGGTGTTCCGCACTGTGTCCCTCAAGGTACTGTGGTGTTCCAACAGATACAGCTACAGGGGTGATGTGTCGGTTCTTTCTTCAAATAAATAGCAGCATCACACGTAGCTGGTTTGATTTGGTTTTATTGATGCCTGTGAATGCTGTCTTCCAACCTGTCGCATCCATCATCTATGCCTCCACCCATCGCTTTGGTCTTGCAGCTCCACTCCAAGGCATGCCCTTGGGAGTTCTACATATACCGCAGATCCAATTGCGAATCGACGGCCCACAGGTGCCTAGGCTATTACCCTTCGTCCCTGTCCTTCATCCACGCACCTTTGCCGCACTTGGTTCCTCTAAATTCTGGCCCTGATACTCTTGCCTGATGCCTGTGTTCATACCATCATTCCCCTCCCTGCTTTCCATGTACATGCTCATCCTCTTTACATCAATTTCCTCCTGCCATTCTCCCTTCCGCCCTCACTACTCTCTCCCCTTCCCTTCCCTTCCTCCTCTCCTCTGCCCCCCCCTTTTCCCCCACCAGCGGCAACTGTTTGGCGCGGCGTCTGCTTACCACGAGTTCCCCAATGCGTCCATCCTCACATGCTCCCCTTGGCACTAGCGGCACCCTGCAGGTGAGCTGGCATGTGAGCATGCATGTGAGTATGCAAGTGTTGTTCAGGTGTGTACACGCACGTAGGGGCTCTCACACGCATACCCAATTGCCCCATCCTCGCTTGATGAACGCATTCAGAAGCCGGGGAAAGCCAGTGCCAGAGGAGCTATGCACGTGCCTACTGCATGCCATCCTCACCACCCACCCACCCCCTTCCCCACTCTCACCTCTCGACCTCACCACCCACCCCACTCTCTCACCTCTCTTCCCCCTCAGGACGTGGTGAATGCGTTCAAGAGGCAAGGCAAGCGGTGCCGGAGCCGCTGTGCGCCTGCCCTTAAACTTGCACCTCGTCACCACCCAACCCTACCCACTCACCGCCCATCCCCACCAACCGCCTCCCCTTTCAGGACGTGGTGAATGCGTTCAAGAGGCAAGGCAAGCCGGTGCCGGAGCCGCTGTGCGCCTGCCTTAAACTTGCAACCTCGTCACCACCCAACCCCACCCACTCACCGCCCATCCCCACCAACCGCCTCCCCTTTCAGGACGTGGTGAATGCGTTCAAGAAGCAAGGCAAGCTGGTGCCGGAGCCGCTGTGCGCCTGCCTTAAACTTGCACCTCGTCACGTCACCACCCAACCCCACCCACTCACCGCCCATCCCCACCAACCGCCTCCCCTTTCAGGACGTGGTGAATGCGTCAAGAAGCAAGGCAAGCCGGTGCCGGAGCCGCTGTGCGCCTGCCTTAAACTTGCACCTCGTCACCACCCAACCCCACCCACTCACCGCCCATCCCCACCACCGCCTCCCCTTCAGGACGTGGTGAATGCGTTCAGGAAGCAAGGGCAAGCCGGTGCCGGAGCCGCTGTGCGCCCTGCCTTAAACTTGCACCTCGTCACCACCCAACCCCACCCACTCACCGCCCATCCCCACCAACCGCATCCCCTTTCAGGACGTGTGAATGCGTTCAAGAAGCAAGGCAAGCCGGTGCCGGAGCCGCTGTGCGCCTGCCTTAAACTTGCACCTCGTCACCACCCAACCCCACCCACTCACCGCCCATCCCCACCAACCGCCTCCCCTTTCAGGACGTGGTGAATGCGTTCAAGAAGCAAGGCAAGCCGGTGCCGGAGCCGCTGTGCGCCTTCTACACGGCGCAGATGCTGCGAGCTGCGGAGGCCTTGCACGCTGCTCACATCCTGCATGGGGATATCAGCCCGATAACTTCTCCTGCGGTTCGGGTACGTGCTTTAAGTGGTGCTTGCTGCTCTGCGCCTTGCTGCTTGCTGCTCGTGTTGCTGGAAGACAGTAAGTGAGGAGTGGGATGCCCTGCTTCCTGCTCGTGTTGCTGGAAGACAGTAAGTGAGGAAGTGGGATGCCCTGCTTGCTGCTCGTGTTGCTGGAAGACAGTAAGTGAGGAGTGGGATGCCCTGCTTGCTGCTCGTGTTGCTGGAAGACAGTAAGTGAGGCAGTGGGATGCCCTGCATGCTGCGAGCTGTGGAGGCCTTGCACGCTGCTCACATCCTGCATGGCGACATAAAGCCAGACAACTTTCTCCTGCGATTCGGGTATGTGTTGCTGTGTGCTGCTACCTGCAACGTGATTTCCTCGTTCTGAGCACCTCAATTTTGTTCTCAGTGTGGGATTTAGATGCCTCATAGGGTAGAGATTGCAAGGAAGCAGAGGAGCCTGAAGTTTGTGCTGCAAACATGGCTTCCCCGTTCTGCCTGCATATTGTCATGCGCGCTTCATTGCAGGGCTGACAGTGAGAGTCCCAGGGAGATGGTTGCTGCAATCGAGGCCGGTGCACCTTCCACGGTACGGCTTGTCCTTGACTCACTCAATCTCACTCTTGACTTGATTCTTGTTCGCATCTCTAAGCTTTATCTCACCTTCTGCTCTCCAACCCACTCTGAGACTCTACCAATCAATTAAACACAAAGGCCTGACAGCAACTGACCATTCTTTGTGCCAAGCTCGCTCGGTTCCACTCCCATTGCATTGCAGCAAGTCTGGTAGGCTGTACCAAGATGCCTGAATTCAGAAACAGCCCCATCCTCAGTCTGTACTGGGTCAGATGCAACTGCAGCCAACATATGTTGCTCGTTCTGTGCCTCCTATCACTGAGCATCCCAGGTCCCCTGCCTACTATCACTCCATCTCTCATCTGTCATCCCTTCATCCACCAGTAGACAACTTGACATCTCCCATCCGCCTCTCTAATTCACCGGTCCTCACTCCTCCCCACTCCTCACTCCTTCACTCTCCTCTTTCCTTCCCACTCCTCACGTCTTCCCACTCCTCACTCCTCCCCACTACTCACTCCTCTCCACTCCTTCAGGGTCTCACCCTTGTGGACTACGGCCGCAGCATTGACATGCGGCACTTCCCGAAGTTCCTCTTTCGTCTCTGACAGCGGCACGGAGAACTTCCGATGCCCGAGATGGAGGAGGGGCGCCCGTGGACCACGCAGGTACGACACAGTGTGGTATGTGTGTGGTGTGGTGTGGTACAGTGTGGGCTTGCAACTTTCGGTGCCCAGAGATGGTGGAGGGGCGGCCATGGACCACCCAGGTATGGCAAGTGTGGTGCGAAGTAGTAGCCATGCGGTAGAATGTGGTATCTGTGTGGTACAGCGTGGTATGGTGCTGATTTGTGTGTGGTATGCCATGGCCCTTCTGTGACATGGTGTTGATCAAGTGTGGGGTACAGCGTTGATGTGTTTGAGCACACTCACTCTACACTCGTCCCTACGCACTCTGCGCCCAAACTTCTAACCACACCTTTCTATGCCGCTCCTCCCTCTTCCTGTCCCATGCCTTCCGGTTGCCGCTCCTATCCAGGCCGATCTCTACGCGGTGTGTGCTACTGCCTACTGCCTGCTGCACGGGCAGTACATGGAGGTCGAGAGGGTGCCTGCAGGGGAGGGCGGTGCCAGTGGAGCAGCGGATGTGGAAGGTTGTGATGATGTCGTGGCTGCTAGCTCTGAGGCTGAAAATGTTTCTTACTATCGCCCAAGGCTCCACCTCAAGAGGTCAGCCTAAGTTTCCGCTTGCGTAGTTTTCCCCCTCGCGTCAGTTGCCTGTGGGATGTTTTCGAGGAGCTTGGTGGATTCTTTCTGTGTGTTGCACCACTGCTTTCTCACTTACAGCCATGGCTGGCTGGCAGGTACTGGAACCATGACATGTGGCATGCGCTGTTCCACACCTACCTCAATGTGGCCAGCCTGCCCCTCCTCCAGCCGCTATTATCTCACTTTGTGTGTTCATGCCACTGCTCTCTTGCTTGCTGCTCTCTGCCATGGATGGCTGGCTGGCAGGTATTGGAATCATGACATGTGGCATGCGCTGTTCCACACCTACCTCAATGTGCCTGCGGGGCAGCCCGCCCTCCTCCAGCCCAATTCGCCGCCGGTTTGAGCGGTACTCAGCCGACCATGCAAGCGATGTCTCTGTGCTGCTTCGCCGTCTGCACAACCAGCTGTAGGACGGGGGCATGATTGACCCTGCAAATGTTGTGACCTATGCTAGTTGCTTTCGATTGTGGTATCGGGTGGTATCCAAGGTTTGCTGATTGTGGCAGTGTCAGTGGATGAGCTAAGCATGGTTGTGCTAGGTTATAAGACCACAATATTGTACTCTGGCTAGTGTTGAAGAAGAATTTTAACACGTCAGGTTACTGGTACGGTAGCAGTTTTGCTGCATAAAAACATCAGCAAATGTCAACTCGAGAAAGCACATTGTCTGCCATCTGTGGTAAGACACCATTTATTTGGAAAGTATACTCACAGCGTTTTAGTGATTCGTCACAAGCATAGTGTTATGCGAACATAATCGGGACGGTTGCATTTCCGCGACGCTCACGAGGATTCCACGTGGCGGCCAAACCTTTCCAGCTTGGCTCACAAGCCAGATGAACCTACTCGACGTTTCAGCACGAATGCCCAGGCCACTGCCCTGCCCAGTTGAGGAAGATCCAAGAAGCGTGCCTTCAATTTTGTTTTCTCCAGCGCAGCAACGGAAGCCTGCGAGGTTCAGCGGAAATCATGCAGTCAAGTGTTTTCACATGCCCGCGTGTACGGACTGTACGACTGGGGAAAGAATTGCACACCGTTTGATTCCAACCATGCAGCAATGCCTTGTGGAGGAGGGTGTTCAGCACACTGTACAGTTCAGAACAATCTGCCCCCAAAGCTTGCACGACCAGCTTGAGCGGAAGGTTCTCTCAACATTCGAAGGGACTTCCTGATCGAGATGCCGCACCTTCTTCGAGCTCTGTGCGTGCCCCTTCGTCCAGCTCGCACCCCGCACGCTCAACACGAGGAGTCCACGAGCTGAGCGCCAGCTGGTGGCTGCCACGGCGGGGCTGGGTAGCCAGTAGCCTCCCCCGCAACTTGGCTTCGTCTGGTGCGGGAAGGGGCTTGGCGGATACTGCGCGTGTATCATTCAGGAGAAGAGGCGGGATATTTTAGCGAAGGGTGCAAGGGAGGGGCGATGAAGAGGGGAACTAGACAGCGGGTAGGGGAAACCGACCCCCCGCCAAAAAACGTACACGTCATGTTCTCGTTAAAAACAACCCTGACAGCTGTTTTTGTTCGTAAGAACCCGCAAGGGGGCATGTAAGCGGGGATCATATTATATATACCCTTGGCTGAGATTATTCAGCTTCCGACCCAAGCTCTTTCGAGCATAGCATGGTTCCACACGTAACCTAGCTTGATCCAGAAGCTGGAGTGCAGAGACACACGACGCGGGAGGAGGCGAGAAATAGGTCGAGTTACGGAGGCACAACATGGCTGCTTACACGGACAGCTAAGTATGGCATCCAGAATCCAACCTTTTGGCTCCATCCGAGATTACAGCTGTCACCGCAGAGCCGTAATCATTCGCTGTAACGTACGGCGCTGCAGTGTTCCAATGACCCGTCGGGGTCGGGGGAAAGAAGACGCAGATTCGCGCTCCGGCTCTCGCCTCGGTGGGTCGACTCGCCCCGTTGCCCGAAGTGGAAGAATGCTCGCTTGTTTTCCGCCCCGGTAACGAATTTGCTGGTTCGGCCGCAGCCAAGCAGGAGCCTTGTTCAGGGAGCCTCATCCTCCTCCGCGAACCAAGACAGCACGGCAACAAGGAATCCCCGGCGAAGGGAACTTCCCCTCCCCGCGCGCTTAGGATTCAAGCGCCGTGATTTCGTCCACTCAATACCCAGTCGCGTCCCTGTACGCTGTCAGTAAAGCAGAACCAGCACGCGCCAGCTGCGGCAGTTACCACCTGTTGGAGCAGTGCTTTCCCCCGAGAATGCGCCTTACGCGCTTCTGGTAGATCCGCCTGCCCTTGAATCCCGTCTCGCTACTTGCTCTAGAATTTTGGGACGCGCAGATGTACCCTCCCTCGGATTTCGTCTCGCTTCTCACTCGCTTCGTCGATCGTGCGTGACTCGAAGCTCGCCGCTCATTGGCTGAGCCGGGAGCGCGCGAACGGGTACAGGCGGGACCTACCCCCGACTAACCTGTGGACGCAACGTGATCGTCGGCTCGACGGAAGAGCATATCATCGTGGAAGGGGGAACTGCTACGTTCGACGGAATATTATATGACCGAAGGATACTCACTACTAACCTGTCGACACGCTCAGTGCTTGATCATCAAGCCTTCAGTGTCCTTTCAGTGCGAGACGCGGAATTGCCCCTACTATTCCGGGAGATCTGCTTGAAGCAGCGCTCACTACGCGTGCAGCGGCTGAAACCTCTACCATCGCCGCTGCAGGAGTCCGACTCTCGTCGATCCAAGGTCGAGCACTCTACCATCATACGGCTATCAGCCGCCGTCGTGCATCCTGGGAATCCGCCCCTTCCGCCCCGTCCGCCCCCTACGCCCCGTCCGCCCCGTCCGCCCCTTCCGCCGCTTACCATCAGCCTTCCATTCGAGCCAATCATCTCTTCAATGGATTCAGCTCATTCGTCCACGCCTTCCGCCCTTTCCGCCACGATTGACGGGACCAGCGACGCGGCGTTAGAGGAGGCCATCTCGTCGGCGCAGACCGCCATCGCGGGGCTCGTGCAGGCCGTCCACGTGGCAAAGCGCAAGCAGCTCCAGCTCCGCCGCCGATCGCGGGGAACTCGAGACAACTCGACGCTCGGCGATAATCCCCCCGTATCCGCCGTGACTCGCGCCATGAACAACGGAGGAGTCATCTGTCCAATTCACGCTGCCTATCCCTCCGCTCCCGGCGGGCCGCCGGGAGTATCATTCCACGCCAGAGAATCCGAGTTTATTGGCGGGTCATATGCGGTTCCAGGCGCTTCTGGCCGCTACTTTCCACCAGCGCATTATTCATCAGGTGATATTCGCGCCGCGAGCTGCGGCGGCGGTGGCGGCGGCGCGATGGGTGCTGCTGCTGCTCTATCAGGAGGCGGCAGCATGTGGAGCCCCGTGATTCCCGTTCCGCCGGCATTCGCGGCGGGGTTCCACATGCTGCCGCCCCCAGGGGTTCCTTTCGCGTTGCCTCCGCCGCCGGCGGCCGCGCTGGCTGCTTTCCGCGGATTCGGCGGAGCTGCTGCGCTTGCTCCGAGCGAAACTCCTGCCAGCCCCGCGCTTCTGGGGGAGAAACGGCGCCGCGGACGACCGCGCGGGTCAGGCACAGGAAATAAGCGGAGCAAAACGATGGCGGCGGTGGCGGTTGTAGGGGGAGAGAAGCCGCAGGTCGCGACTGCGACTGCCACTGGCAGTGGCAGTGGTCGGGCGCTGAGTGTTGGGCGCAAGTCACGCGGCGGCGATCACCGAGCAAGCAAGCACTGCCAACGCTCCGAGTCTGCTGCGGACAGCGGCAGTGTCGGAAGTGGTAGCGCAGGAGGGGGAAGCGCTGCTGTGGAGAGCGCTGATTCCGAGATCTCTGCGCCAACCATCACAGCGGCAGATGCGGCTGGTGCGGCAGCAGCGGCGGCGGCGGCGTTGGGCGGCACGCCGGGCAGCGGGATGTATAAGGGTGTGCGGCAGCGGCGGTGGGGCAAGTGGGTGACGGAGATCCGAGAGCCGAGCCGGCGGTCGCGCATCTGGCTGGGGTCGTTTGACTCGTGGGAGGACGCCGCGCGCGTGTATGACATGGCCGCCTGGCTGCTGCGCGGATCCAAGGCACAACTCAACTTCCCCCCGCCGCCTCCTCCAAAGGGCAAGTCCTGCTGTCCTGCCGCTACAGGTGCTGCAGGCGATGCAGCTGCTGCAGGAGGCGCTACAGACAGTGCAGGCGACGCAGCCTCTGCAGGCGCTACAGCCAGCACAGCTGAAGGCTCTTCTGAGAAGACCGACCCTGCCCTGCTCCCCGTGCTGATGCCGGCCACTACAGCCGACGCGCTGCTGACGGCGGCCCGTGGGTGTGCCACGTGGCAGGGCGCGGAGGACGCCGTTGCTGAGCTGGCAGCGGCGCTTAAGGCTGTGGAGGGCAAGGGGGGCATGGTGGAGGTGACCGGTGGGCCGGCTGCTAGGAGGTTCGCGGCTGGAGAGTGGGTCGGGGAGCTGGTTGGCGACGGTGCGGAGGAGTCTGGAGCGGTGGAGTGCGGTGCTGAGGGGGTGCAGGAGAGCGACTTGGAAGCGGCGTTGAAGCCGCTTCTTGCTGCAGTGGATGGGGGGAAGAGCAGTGATTCGGGCAGTGAGAAGAGCACCGGGCCTTGCAATAGCTTCTCTGGTAGCGACGATGGCAACAACAGCAATGACATCAGCGACAGCAATGGCGATGGCACCGACGGTCACGATGGTATTGACAGGCTTCACAGCCTGGATAGCCTGGAGTCGTTTCTGGAGGGCAGCATCGGGAACCCTGGCACTGACACTGACGCGCACGGCTCCACGGCTCGTTCCGCATTCTCCTTCTGGCTAGACGGCGACTGCGACCTGGACTGCAACATGCCGTCGCTGCTGCACGAGACTCCCCTGGACGAGCCGGGGATGATGCAGACGGGGATGATGGGGATGGGGATGGAATATGAAGGCAAGATGGCTATGGAACATGGGCGCATGCTCGTGTTGGATGATCATGCTGGTTTTTGCGATGGCTTGGACATGCTAGGCTCTGTGCCGGCTGTAGTGGGGACAGCCCATGAGGGCCCCGGGGCTGGGGTGTTTCAGCAGCTGTCGGAGTTCACCCTGTGGGATCTCTGAATGATAATGTCTCTTGCCCGCTGTAGCGGCTACAGCCCATGCTTGCCTGGGTTCCCATGAGGGGCCTGGGGCTGTTGTGTTTCTGCAGCTGTCGGAGTTCAACCTGTGGGATCTCTAGGTGACCTTTCCTCTTGGTGGTCATTCGGGCGGAACGAATAATCAGATGAGGTGGTTTATGGCGATGGAATTCCGTGTACTAGGTAAATCCCTGGGTAATGGATGCCCAGTGGAAGATGGAGGTTGATGGTGGTCATGGTGTGAGGAGGAGAGGGGCGTAAGTGGGGGTTGAGAAGGTGTTGTGTTTGAGATAGTTTGGATTGGGGGTTCAATAGGGAGTGGGGGGGCATGGGGGGTAAAGGGCAGTGGGGAGTGGTTTGAGTAGGTTCAGCCGCAGTGGTGGCTATCATGTGGCTCGTTGGAATGAATCATGGGGAGAGCAGAGAGTCTCTCGGGCAGCCCAGTGGAGCTCCATGGCAGGCTCTCTGGTACTGTTGGAACCTTCCTGCCTTTTCAGGCGCCTCAGAGAAATCTCCACTGGGGAGCCTCAGAGCTATCATACCGGTGGTTGCACGGCAGGCTTTGGTTGATGCAGTAGGATCCTCCTGGCCTGTGACACTGGGGCTGGTTCTTACGGCTCTCTGCTTTCGGCATGATTCCGATCACATGATGGTTGGCATTCGGGGCTAGTGAGTTGTCGTGTGTTTTTCTGTGTTTGGTTGAAATGTCGAGTGTTGCATTACTTGTAATCTAGCACAAACCCTAATGGTACAATGAGTTGCGCATGTTGCACATTTTGAGAAAGACTGCCTCCTGCATTATTGGCTTAGGGTTTGTTGACTACACTAGAATTCTTTAACAACAAAAAGAATTGCGTCTGGATATCGGAACTGCACAACTGAGGCATTGAGCACCCTATACACGTGTATCTCTTGTTCGCGTGTATCTCGCCTCGCCAGACATTGCACGCTTGGCAGTCACGGCTTGGGAGTCTGGGACCTCGACCCGCGCGAAGCCACCATATCCCAGACCAGGCCAACTATAGCTGAGCTGGAAACTGCAGTTTTGTTGCAGTCAAGAAAGGAAAGTTGTTACTGCTGGGTCGGAAATTTCAAGTTGTGCGACGCGCCCGAGCCTCGATGGAGTTAATCTACCAATATTCCAGGGGCTCAGCTAGTGATTCGAATATTGTAGTTGAAACACCAGCACCTAGCACAGACAGTGGAATTATGGCTGGTTAAGCATCAGCAGTCCCAAACTGGTTCTTAAGCAGGGCCAGTCTGTTTACTGATTGTCTGGAACCCCTGCCAATTGTGATGGTTTCATGCGAGCCTTTTGTTTCGGGAGGCTTGTAGGGTGACCTCGTTTGACATTAGCAAACAGCTGCTCCTTGCCCCTCATTGAATGCGACCAATGCTTGTGGCCTTGTTCGTTACAGACGCAACCGTTCTTGTCTGTGCTGGGATCCGCGAAATATCTGACCAGGCGTTCTTCCTTCCAACTCGGGCCAACATCATAGACATGCAAATTAGTATGGTAACCCTATCCAACGGTATGCAAAACCGTCGATACCCTAGTTCTGCTGCGCAAGTTTGTCTGGTAGCGCCACTCAAAACACTGTCTAACAGCTGACGCAGAACAAAAAAGGAAGAAATATGAGATGTAATCGGCTGCATTTTCGATTTCGTATTTTCGTGGTTCTTACCGCGCCCCGTTTGGCGTCTAACAAATATTCCTCCAGACTACTATTTTCCGCTGAATGTGCACGATACATTTACGAAAGAATCCAATCCATTGGAATGAAATTATACGGGGTCCGTTTTGTAACAATATATTGCACCCAATATATTGCTACTTAGAAGTGCTAGGCCAGGGCTGGAAAACAATAAAAACCCATAGGGAACTGGACTCATTTCTGGGAGGGATCAACCCTAAACACGGGAAAGGACATTGTTTTTAGGGTTGATGCCTCCCTGACGCATCCCGTTCCGATTGGGTTTTATGTTTTTCTTGGCCCGAAGAAATCACGTCTTAGTGCGAAGGCAAGCGCGGTAGGGATCACTGCTCGAAATAAAAACAAACGCGGTAGTAGGGCAGCATGTCGATAGATCCAAAACTGAGGTAAGACGGTTTTGCATACCATTGGATAGGGTTACCATAAACATCTGCATGTCTATGATGTTGGCCCTTCCAACCTCACTTCCTTCGCTCATGCGGAACAATCGGACGCAGGCCGCCAGCCAATTGACAGAGACCAACCCCTGTCATGCCAGCAGTCCTCAGGTCAAAGCACTGCCATAGTTGGTCGCCCCAATTTCCGAAATGCTGAGGTCACACCCCGAAAATTCACGCATCGCAAGTGCCTCGACGCGGTGACACCATTGCTGCCACGCGTGAGGTATCCAATACACGTACATGAAACCGAAATCTGCCCCACTTCTCGGGAGTCGGGACTGGAGGGAGTCACGGTGTCGCGATCTGACCCCGCCCCTGGACTCTATCTCCCCCAAAAACGAAATCGCGTTGGGAATGATCGCCAACAGAGCCTCTGCGTCGGGGCTATGCTTGTCTTCCGGAGGCCAGCAACGGAATTTCTCAGTTCTCGCGGATTTCCTATCTCAGTGTCAGTACATTCTACATTCTTTCAATCAAACAAAGCGAGTAGCTAAAATTGTTACAGTCGAAGGCTGGGAAAATAGAGCACGGAGTGTGTACACCGATTACAATGAAGTATGGTAGTTCTGCCCGTCACAAAACTCCGTCATGACCATGTCGGTTCCCACTTTGCCGCCGCGAGAAAATCGCGCATTGCGAAATTGGAAATGCTTCTTCAATCCCCGTTAGATCACTGCTGCTGTTCAGCATTTCCCAGTCAGCATTTTGCTGCACCAAAACCCACGTTTTGCTGCTCCAACCGAACAAGCACCGAATCACCTTTCTCGGGCCTGTCTTCACGCGGCGAGCACAGTCGCTTCTCTTTATCACGTCAGTGTTCAGACGGTTGTAACTCGATTTCGATGGATTGTGCCGTCAAATGTGTCTCCTGCGGACCTCAGCCCAAACGGATGCGTCACGAGGGCGAAGCGATACTTGATCCCGCATCCGGCGCTATCCTTCGGTCGCCTCATCCCCGCTCCATCGATGGATATTTTCCTGACGACGAGCCTCCGATTTGCGCGAACAAAGCCGCAGCAGACGCCGCACGGATCGGCGAAGCTGACGTCGATCTGACACTCTCGCTCTCGCTCGGTGTTCTCAATAATAGCAAACAGAAATCACGTCGACAATACGTCGAACCCGATCCAGCCGCATCAATAAGAGAGAGAACCATCGAGGCGGCAGCTTTCGTGGCGGCGCGTTCTGCCAACGTAGCGGCGTTGGCGGAAGTTGCGCAGACTATCAGCGCTGCAAAGAGTCGAGAAACAGCCCCAGGCACAAACCGCTCCCCCCAAATTGCCAATTTAGCGATCAGTGATCAGCGAGGCGCTTCCAGCGGCAGAAGTATTGTCCCCGCAACCGTCCGTCATCCCGGCGCGGCTTGGTTGAGTCACGAAGCTTCTCCTCCTCTCGTCCAAGCGACACGCGGCGCGGACTCCTCGGAGGATCCCTTTGCAAGGTTTACGGAGCGCTACCAGATCATCTTGGGCGCAGGCGGCGCAACGGAAGCCGTTACCGCAGCGGCGGCGGCGGCAGCGGCGGCGTCTGCGGCGCAAATCGTGGCTCCATCGAATCATTGCGGAATACGTGATAACGCTGCATGCAATGACCACAAAGTACCACTATCATCGAGTAGCGCGGCGCGTGGCCAGCCGCATGACGACTCGTCAAACTTTGAAGTTTCAAACGCGCCAAAGCCAATCCCATCATCGCAGCTTGAAGTTTCCAACGAGCATCATCATGCGGCCTATGGTCGTCGGGAGCGGCCCTTCCGACCCGGAAGTCCCCTCGAGGCGACGATCACGGGCGGCGCCGCCGTTGAAGGTGCCGTTTTGGAGGGTACTATTACTAAGAGCGCTTCGGGCCGCGCCGGTCGGCAAAGCGCGGGTGTCGAAAAAGCATGGTGCACTCGTGAGTTGGAATCGCCTGCCGTCGCATGGTCGCCTGACGTCGCATGGTCGCCTGATGTGTGGTCCTCGTGCCTTGCTACTGCTTTCTATGCGGCTGGGGATGCGGGAAGCTTTAATGGTGGGAGCGTGAATGGTGGGGGCGTGAGTAGCTTGAAAAGGGAGGCCTTGAATGCAAGAAAACTGCCCTTGGATTCAATCTTATCAAATCCAAGGAGAAACAGTGGCAGCATCATGGAAGGCGCGAGCATTCCTCGCAGGAATTGGAGCTGTAACGATGTCACCCCCACTGGGAGCAGATCATTTCTCCGGCAACAGCAGCAGCACGTGACAAGGGCAGCAGCAGGAGCAGAGGCAGAAGTGGCTGTGTGTGCTTCAAACGCAGCAACGGCAGCAGCAGCAGCAGCAGCAGCAGCACCAACACAGCAGGCGCTGGGAGGAGGAGCAACAGCGGCAGTGCCAGCTCAGCATGCAGCAACGCGAGGTGTGTCGGATCCGTCTGGTTCAAGAGGGGACGGCTTGATGCAGCAGTGCAACGAGATTCCCCAGGGATCCAGCCCTGGTGGGGGGCGAAGTGTGTATGACTCACATGCTGATATCTACGCGCGTGCTCTCAAATCCATGGGGGTCAAGACTGGAGGGGAGATATGTGTGGGACCAGTGCCCCTTGTGAAGGTAAGGAGTCCGGTCTTGGGGGTTAGGAGGAAGGGAGAGTTGGATGCAGGTTTGTTCTGATGAGGTCATGGGATCAAATCCTGCTGCTGGAAGGAGTGTGAAGTGAAAGTGCTGTGCTCTCCTGGCCTCATACCGCGAATATGCGTCTGCTTATACGGCTTAGACCTGTTGATCAAAGCTAATAATAATTGTCTATATTCTCCCCGCAGTAAGACTTGCGATTGCTCTTATTGAAAAGTGCATTCCATCACAGATGCGCTGCTGTTTGACTGCTCTGCAGTTCTGACTTTAACCACTAATTCTGCACCACTGCAGGGAGCAAGTACCGTATCAGCAGCAGCAACTGCAGGGTAAGGTGCACTAATCTTGCTATGCTCTAGATTGCGGCACGTTGACCGCCACGCCCTGTTCCATCTCCCCACACCTAGAGGCATATGTGCTTCAGAGAGAATCCAGGTAGCTTTGTAGCTGGCCTGAGGCTGCAAGGATTAGGCCTGGTGGGAAGAAAGGACCCAAGAACGGCAAGCAAGGGCGGAAGAGATCGAGAAGGGAAGAGCAAAGTGTGATGACAGGCAAGACTGGGGGGTTGGTGTAGCTGGAGAGAGATCTGAGATAATAAGGTTCCAAAACTTATACTAACAGCAGAGTCTTAAAGGACAGGCAGTAAGGGGGGCTGGAGGAAACACATTAGAAGTCAAAATTAAAGAATTGGGACGAAGAGGATAAGAGGGCATACCTTGGAAGGCAAGATAAATGGATGGGAGCCTAGAGGGCCGAGAAAAAGAGCATGAGAGGGCATACCTTGGAAGACAGGGGACGGCCGCCCTGGCCTGGACTTGAACTCTGGATGGTATTGGACGGCCAGGAAGTACGGATGCGATGGGATCTCCAGGATCTGACGGTTGAGAGTGGAGGAGACGAGCAGGGGAGGAAGGCAGGAAGCAGAGAGCGGTGTAAGGCGGTTGAAATGGTATTTAATGTGTGGAATGTAGACAACGGTTGTATCTGACATAAGAGAAAGAGAGGGAAGGGGAAGAGAAGGGAAGAATGCGAATCCTCTTCGCCAAACCCTACAGCAACTCAAAGTAACTCATGCAACCCCCCAAAAGCAGCGCCACCAGTGACATTTCCTCCTTTACTACCAAAAAAAAACCGTTCACAACCAGAAAAAAAAGCCGCTGCACGATTCAAAAAGCACGACCAGCTCTCCTGCTCGAATCTACTCACCTCCATGCGCCAACCAGATTCGTTCCGAGCTCTCGCTTTGCCATTAAGCCCACCCTCCTGCATGCCAGGAGCACTGCTCACCTCCATGCGGCGCCCGGACTCGTCGCGGCCAACAAATTTCAGTCCCGCAGCTTCAAACTCGTCAATCATGTCGGGGTTGACCTCGTAGCGGTGCCGGTGCCGCTCACTCACACTGCTGTGAGTGCCGTACCTGATGGGTGGGTGGGTGGGTGGAGCGACGAACAGGTTCAAACTCGTCGATCATGTCGGGGTTGACCTCGTAGCGGTGCCTGTGCCGCTCACTCACACTGCTGTGAGTGCCGTAGCTGGCGGGTGGGTACAGCGGAGCATGAAGATAGAGGTATGCACGGTTAGAGTGGCTGGAAGCACGGGTACAGCCTCTTCAAACTCGTCGATCATGTCGGGGTTGACCTTGTAGCGGTGCCGGTGCCGCTCACTCACACTGCTCTGAGTGCCGTACCGTACCTGGTGGGATAGTAGTGGCATGATTGTGATGGCATGGTTTTAGCGGTGCGATTAAGCTGCCTGCGTGATTGTAATGGCACGACTGTGTGTCTCATGAGAGGATTTGCTTGGAGCATGAGGATTGGCACAGATTCATGGGGGCAGCCGGGGGCAGCAGGGGGCAGCCGGGGGCAGCAGGGGGCAGCAGGGGGCAGCCGGGCCAGCAGGGGGCAGCCGGGGGCAGCAGGGGGCAGCCGGGGGCAGCAGGGGGCAGCCGGGGGCAACAGGGGGCAGCAGGGGGCAGCCGGGGGCAGCAGGGGGCAGCCGGGGGCAGCAGGGGGCAGCAGGGGGCAGCAGAGAGCAGAAGGGTGCAGCAGGGAGGACTCACAGCTTGGCAGCGAGGCAGGTGGGCGAGTGGAGGACTGTGTCTCGCGCGCCCAGGCGCATGGTGGCGCCCATGTGCGTCTTGGATACCTCAGGCATGAAGACGATGCACGGGTGCGGTGATGCTGGGTCGAACTCCGTGCTGCTCGCCTTCGCATGGCCCAACACCTGTGAGTTGGAGTGGGGGGTGGGTTGCAGGAAGGCAGCCAGAAGGGAGGGGGGGGGATGCGACAGGTGATGCTGGGTCAACCTCGGTCCTGCTCGCCCTGCCAGCACCTCAGAGTGCACTTTTCCACCAGATAGGAACAAAGGTCTTGGTGTAATCCTACCAGAGCGATTTTTCCAAAACCAAGAGGCTGTGCTGCTCGCACTCTCATGCCAAACATTGGTGCTTACATTCGTGCAACTCATTCGCACCAGGGATTCAATGGCTCTCACTGAGGCGCCGAATAATAAGCACTCAGATTCAATGAGGGCTCAAGAGGAAACATAGGTGCTTACATTCCGGGCGTACTCAATGACGGCGATCTGCATGCCGAGGCAAATCCCCAGGTACGGCACGCGGTTGGTTCGGGCGTAGTTTGCTGCAAGGATCTTGCCCTCCACGCCTCTGTCTCCAAAGCCACCCGGCACCAACACCCCATCCGCTCTCTGCACACATGCAAGGCAAGACAGGATAGGCAGGAGGCAAGGCGAAAAACAACGCATGAGCAGAAGTTGACTGAGTCGACTTGATGTCATCTTGGCCTCCAACACCCCATCCACGCCTCTGTCTCCCAAGCGACCAGGCACCAAAACCCCATTTCCTCTCTGCGCACATTCAAAAGAACGAGCGATCATTGATGATTGCCGGCGATCAGCGCAGTGTATTAAACAGGAATGGGTGAAGGCCGAGCAGGTAAGGGGTACCCTAGCGAGCCTTAACGTACCTGCCTTGCAATTAGCAAATTGCCTTGATGCATCCACTAGCCAGGGTGGCATGGCATGGCATGATACATGGTGGCAAGTCAGTGCCTTGTGAGTGCGTAAACACTCACCTTCTTTGCGGCGCCTAGAAAATCATCCACTAGGCAGGGTGGCATGGCATGATAAATGGCGGCATGTCAGTCCAGGCATGTGAGTGCATGAACACTCACCTTCAAGGCTGCCCAGGCTTCATTATACAGGTCTGGACTCTGGTGGGAGCATGAAGGGGCGCACAGTAGGAGGCATGGAAACCACGTGGCAAAAGATGGCAGGGAGTATTAGGCTGGAGAGTTGGTTGCAGGTTTCAAATTTCAGACAGTTTGTGTTGCCTAATCGCGTCAGTAACGGACAGGCGGGCTGCGGCGGAGGCCTTACTTCAATCAGCTCGTGTTGTTTTGAAATCTCAAACGGTTTGTGTTGGCTGGTATTGGGGGGAGACGTGAGACTGGAAGCTGTAAGCCCACACTTTTGCTTGGCAGCATATGGCTGGCAGGGACTGCACGCACCTCTTGCTTGGCAGCATTCTCGAGGTCAGATGATGCCACCCATTCGATGATGAGCTTTCGCCCACTTGCCATGGCTGCATGCTGTAGCGCCTGCACGCAGAGAGAGGGGATGAGGGAGGAGTGGAGTGGAAACAACTGGAAAGGAAGCCAACGGGAAAGGAACACAATGAAAAGAATGGAAAAGAATGGAAAGGCTGTAGCGTGGCAGGCAGGCTGTGTAGTGCATACCTTGAGCACTGAGAGGTAGGAATCGGAGAGGCCCGTGTATTTGCCCACCATGGCAATGCTGACCTGGTGGCATGGCACAGCATGGCACACACAGAGAGGGTGGGGAGGCGGGGAAGAAAGGAGAGGTGGGGGGTTGGAGAGGTGAGAGAAGAGGGAGGTAGGAGTCAGAGAGGCCCGTGTACTTGCCCTCCATGGCTATGCTCACCTGGTGGCATGGGCCACACAGAGGGGTGGAGAGGTGAGGGAGAGAGGGCACGGGGGGGGTTGAGAGGTGCGAGACAAGAGAGGGAGGGTTAGGGGTTGAGGCCTGTGTACTTGCCCTCCATGGCAATGCTCACCTGGTGGCATGGTGGATATGGGCGAGACAAGTGGGAGAGACGGACGGAGAGGTGGGAGAAGAGGGAGGGAGGGTTACGGGGAGAGGCCTGTGTACTTGCCCTCCATGGCAATGCTCACCTGGTGGCATGGCATAGCATGGCACACATGGGCGGCCGAGGAGGTGGGGGGTGGAAAGGTGAGAGAAGAGGGAGGATGGGAAGGTTCCCATGTGGCGATGCTCACCTGCTTGCGTGGCCGACCATGGGTATTGGGGAAATATAGAAACATATACATATATATACATATTTTGTTGAATTCAGCAAGGACTACAATGACCACCATGGCAACTCTCACCCTGCTGACGTGGCACACAAAGGGCTGGAAAGGAGTGGAACAGGGTGTAGGGGAGGGAAGGAGGGAGCAATGGTCAACCAAGCAACAGTCAACCTACCAATGTTCACACCACCAGCAAACTCCGCACTCACTGTCTCTGTGAGTTCGTCCCAGCTCTTGGCTCGGTGCGCCCATTCCTGGAGCTGAGGCTCGGAAGGCCTGCATCGGAGGATAACAAAGGTATTGTGAGGTGGGTGGTGGGCAGGCAGACAGGAGGGTCCGCATTGGTTGGTGGTCGGATGAGTCAGCCACTCTCACTTTAAAAATTGTATATTCCCGAAAATCACGGAAGAAGAGTGCAGAGATGGAGGAAGATCTAGATCACACCCTCTCTCTCACTTTCGGTCAGCCACTCTCTCTCACTTTCGGTCAGCCACTCTCTCTCACTTTCGGTCAGTGAGATCACACCCTCTAGATCCACGTGGTTCCAGAGTTGAAAGCTAAATCAAGAAGAGGGTGGCTCACACTTTCGGTCAGTGAGAGGGCAGGGAACGTACTCGATTTGGAACTGCTTGAGAATGGACAGATGGGCGCCTTGCTCCTGAGAGACACGCGAGAGAGAAGCAGGGAGAGAGAGGGGTGTGAGGGGGAGAGGGCGTTGACGGGATGGGATAAGGAGGAGAGAAGAGGGGGGTGAGGGGAAGAAGAGGGGGGACAGAAACGAGTTAGCAGAAGCGGGGATGGGGAGGAGTGAGGAGGAGAGGGGAACTTCTAGTAGGTGCTGGCGCCCAAGCGAAGCAGACAATTCTAACAATCGGACTCAGAGATACAAGATGAAATCCCACCAAGCCTTATAAAATCCCTTTTTTTCCTCGCGAAGGTAGACCCAGGGATGTGAGATGGGTTGGTGGCAAGACTCACGAGCAGCAGCAGCGGGATGTGCCAGATGTTCTTGACGTCATGCAGGTTCAGCACGTTTTGCACCTGCGTTCATCCATAGGCGGGTGGGCGAGCGAGAGGCATTCGGGCATGAGGGCATGCGAGAGCGAGAGCATGACAAAGAAACGAAGCCTCCCATGAGAGTGCACCACGTGGTGCGGAACGTATTTCCCAACAACCCTCCACCCCTTCTCCCCTTTCCCTTTCCCAGCCCCAAGAGGTGCCGTGAGACCCAACCCCTCCCCCAACACCCCTACAGGCACTCACAAGCACGTGGCAGAACCCCCATCCCCCTGCAGGCACTCACAGGCACGTGGCAGAACCCCCATCCCCCTGCAGGCACTCACAGGCACGTGGCAGAACCCCCATCCCCCTGCAGGCACTCACAGGCACGTGGCAGAACTGCGACAGCTTCTCTCGCGTGGAGGGTTCTAGGGGCTGGCAGGAGAAGAAGCAGGGTGGATTTAGGGGGGGCACAGCAGAAACGAGCACAGGAATTTGAGAACAGATGCGAAGGCCGAGGGAGAAAGAGTGTGGGGGGGGGGGGGGGGGGGGGGTCGGACAGAGAAGTTGACAGGAGTCGAGGGGCCAATAGGGGCCAGGGATGTGTGTGTGTGTGTGTGTGTGTGTGTGTGTGTGTGTGTGTGTGTGGTGTAACATAAATCCTCCTCTGCAGTCACCTCCAGCAGAGGTGACTGGCAGACCATGTAGTGACAAGTGGTACCAAAAAAAAAAAGAGAGAAAAAAGATGTATACATACACGTTCATTCGTACATGTATCGCAGTTACACAATAAGCACGTTGAAAGTGTACCTCAGCGCTGCAGTACGCGAGGAGGTTGGGCATGAGGCCGAGCGCTCTGAGCTCACACATGCTGTTGAGTCGACTCACAAGTCATACGTGTACATGTAAATACACCCTAACCGTGTTGCATGTGTTACCTCAGCGCTGCGGCAGGCGAGGAGGTTGGGCATGAGGCCGAGCGCTCTGAGCTCGCGCACACTGTGCTGCGTGGGCTTGGTCTTCTGCTCTCCCACCACTCCCAGCACCGGCACCAGACTGACATGCACCAGACACAGGTTCTCCTGCCCTGCACGGAGGTAGAGAGTGATGGAAGCAATGGAGGAAGAAGGAAGAAGACTTGTTGTGATGGAAGCAATGGAGGAAGAAGGAAGAAGACTTGTTGTGATGGAAGCAATGGAGGAAGAAGGAAGAAGACTTGTTGTGATGGAAGCAATGGAGGAAGAAGGAAGAAGATTGTTGTGATGGTTGGCCAAGCCCACCACTCCCAGCACCCGCATCAGACTCACGTGCACCAGACACAGGTTCTCCTGCCCTGCACAGCGAATGCAAGGAGGTGGGGGAGAAGAGAAAGTAGGAAATGGGAGCTGATTAAACCTCCCACCACCACTCCCAGCACTGGCACCAGACTCACGTGCGCCAGACACAGGTTCTCCTGCCCTGCATGGGTGGAGGGAGGAGGAGGGAGAGATGAGAGGGTAGGGGAGGTTGGGTCTCAAATGAACATCCCATCACCGCCCAGCACCATCAGCATGCTCATGTGCCTCACCACGCCTGCTTGCTTGACTCATATCCTTGCTTGGCATGTAACCAAGAGACGGCGTGGACGATAGTGATAGTGATGATGATGGTCTGATGGAGAGAGGCACGTAACGGTTCTAAAGAAGGGCAGGACGGTACGTACCGACTCTGAACTGAAACTGACGAAGAGCTTCAACGAAGGGCATAGATTCGATGTCACCTGGGGAGAGAGGTACGGGAAACAAGGGTGCATGGAGAGGAACGAGGGAGAAAACATCAGTTGAAATCCACGGGTGGCAGCCTGGCCGGGGCAACAACACCAGACAATCAAGCCCATCACGGATATATATATATATATTGACACCCTGCGCTGCATGCAAGGACACCATTGCCGTCCGACGCACCAATAGTGCCGCCCAGCTCGATGACACAGACGTCAGCACTCTCCCCACTGCCGTCCACAGGTACCTGCGCCACGCGCTCTATCCAGTCCTGAATGGCCGTAGTTATGTGCGGTACCACCTGAGGTGCACAGAGGCAGGGGCAAAGGGGAGCGGTGAGGGGCATGGTTGGCGGGTTTCGGGTTGAAGGCATCAACTGGAACCTGCGCAATGCGCTCTATCCAGCCCTGAATGGCCGTGGCGATGTGCGGTACCACCTGCGGGAAAGGGAGAGTTAAAGGTTTGAGGGGTGGGGTTGGAAGGAGAGGGTAGAGGGTTTGAGGTTTAAGACATCAAGTGAAATTTGTGCCCCTCACTCTATCCAGTCCTGGTTGGACGTGGTGTCTGGCACCACCACCGGTGGACAGAGGAAAGAGTGGGGTGAGGCGGAGCGGAAGGGGAAAGGTCGTGGGAATGGGAGAGGAGGGGAGGGAGGTTCACAGACATTACCTACCCCGATCCTTGAGCTAAAAGCTGCTGATTGGCCGTATTCATGTGCGGCAGCAGAAAAGCGGGGGTGAACGGTGGGAGGTGGAGGGGAGATGTATCAAGTTGAAAGGGTTGAGGGTTTCGGTTTGGGTTAGGGTTTTGTCATGACAGTGGTTAAGCCCTGAGATGTCACATGGTAAGGCAGCAACGGGTCCAGGGTTTCTGTTAACGGTCATGCTCCACAATGCTGATACAATATGAAGACAACGGCATCATATTAGTTCAATCACATTAAACCTCATACCAATCGTATTGCCAAATGCAGGTTTGGAATGGTCACGTGCTGTGGATAGCCGTAATCGTATTCACCTGGACTGTTTTGCCGAGGTAGTCACCACGCCTCTCCCGTTCAATTACAGACTGCCACGTGGAAAGGAACAGAGTGGGAAGGGGAAGGCAAAACGATGAATCGACCATTCCCAAAACGCATCTGACGACTAGTAACTGGAATAATGAGCTGAAACGACTGTACGGACTGATAGACGACTAATGGGAGTATGTACCAAGGCAAGGCACGGCAAGGCAAGGCAAGGCAGGCAGGCTACCTGATAGATCTTGCCAGTCGTGATGTTGTTATCTCGCGTGAGCGTGATGTCGAGGAATCTCTCGTAGTTTCCCAAATCCAGATCCACCTGATGCGGGAGGAAAAGCAGGGGCGCAATGCCGGCCAAAGCGTTTACAACTGGAAACGTAGCCTTCGAATGCTGAGCCTGATCGTCGGCAGACCTGATTTCGCCAATGGGATCAAAATGAGCTACCGGCGCTTCCTTCATAAAGCTGTTGAACGTTTTTTTATTTGCAACAGACTGAGGTGAAAAGCCTGTTAAACCTCTCCCCTTGAAACATCCTGATCACCTCTAAGTCCCGGTACTCCCTCGCTCACCTCTCCGCCGTCATCCAGCACAAACACTTCGCCGTGCTCGAATGGCGACATGGTCCCCGCGTCCGTGTTAATGTACGGATCTGCGAACAATCGCGAAACGAACGAAGCGGTGACAGAGTTACCACAGTGCTGGCTTCGAATCTGGTGCTCCGTACCAGCAACTGCTCGAACTGGCTGATAAATGACGCGACACCGGCATGTAGCTACGACGAGAGCATTCAAACTATTCGTATCAAATACATATCCACGACATTTCTCGTACCGATCTTGATCGAAGTGACCCGGAGGCCGCATGCTTTTAGAACAACACCGATGCTGCTTGCTGTAACTCCCTTCCCCAATCCGCTCACGACACCTCCAGTCACGACCACGTATTTAGTCTTTCCCATAGCTCGTTTACAGCGATAATAAAGTTGACACCTTGCCTTGCCGGGTCTAGGGGAGTAAGCCTCTGCTAGTTTCAGTTCACACGATCAAGAGTTGGTGCGCACAGCTGCTGCCGATAAACCTGATCGTTTATTTACTACCAGAAGCTCTTTAGTTCGGGTCTTAGAAACCAGCGGTAAGATAATGGATAAATGCAGTACGTGCTGATCGATATCAGAAGTTCTGAGCGCAAATGCTCTGATTCTAGAGGTTTACGCAGCTGCTGTTGTTAGAGGTAAATTTTGTGCTTGCAGAAACACCTCCCTCTTTCGCCGCCACTAAAAATGTGCCTCATTGCCACCACATCCCTGGAAACTGCCTTGTGCAACGCCCTAAACCCAACCAATCCAAGATGATGCCTCTGGAAAATTGACGCAGCGCCTGACCCACATCAATCTGGCAAGCATGGATCTGATTAGGCAGCTTGAAAAGAGTACACCCAGGATGTATGATTTGCCTGTCTCTGGATGCGGAATCTCTTATGTATTGCAAAGAGGCAGCTGTTAAGGGTACAAACTTGAAAGTTTTCCAGGATCTGCTGGTCTTGTACAACTAACCATCGCTGAGGGGAGAGCCGCCACAACGCTTGATTCTGAAGCTCGTGTTTTGTCACAAGTTCAACAGAGACAGCTCAATTTGAGTCAAAACCAGCGCCTCATTTTTTGGTGAACGGGCTGTGCTCAACGTGTACGCGTATGAATAATCTTGTATTTCGAATCAAATGGAAATGCTGACCTCGACCCACGACGGTGGTGAAGTGATTCGTGATGTGAACAGAATCAGAGCTGCTGTGATAGGATCTTTGCATCAAACTGCAAGCAGGTTACTTGCCAGCCCGTTGGTTTCCCCTTGCCGCGGTTTTTCCTTGCTGGTGTTCGACTGTAGCAACCCCCCGCCCCACCCTGTCATCCCACACGACACGACGACGGAGTGACTGTTTCATGCAGTCACTACTTCGGCTTCGGCTTCGAGTCACATTTCGCCTTGGTCTGCCCCGCAGATCGTCGAGACACCTCCTAGTGCCATTGCTGCTGCTCATTCACCGACAGAGTCCTGAGTCCTGACCCTTCCGCTCATCCCAGGCCAACCACAATTCGACTTTGGCTTCGTCCTCCTGCCCGAGATGCGACTAAGAATCGAGATCCGTCGGTTGTGACCTTCAGTCCAGAGAGCAAACCCTCTCCGCTGGCAATCAAAACTGCATCCCTCCTCACCTCAGACATCAGCAAACCCTAGTCCTATTATGCCTTATCAAATCATTAAGCCCATCCACGCGCCGTCAAGTACTACCAGCAGACTTTAGTACGGTTAGTTCTCCGTTTATGGTCCTTAGGTTCCATTTTCTTCCTTCCCGTCTGAGTTTTGGTCTAATTAGCACTCAATTCAACAAGTCATACGTACTCCAGTGTGCTCTAGGGTTTCATTCTCCGTGACTTTTGGTCCCAGTAGACAAACAGACGTGTGTGTAGAACAAACGCTTGAGAGGTGCGAGGTGCATCTCCGAAGGGTCTGAGTAGTCTGTTTTATTCTCTACTTGTCGGCAACGAAGCCGCGGTTGCGACCATGGTTATATTACGGCAGACGCTTAGGAGTTTATGCTCACCAGATGGATGGACCTATGCAGTGTTCTGGAAGCTCAAAAGACGCAACCGAATGTACGTTGGGAATTTTCACATCCTTACAGGTTTTCCAGCAGTTTCAGCAATATCGTGTTTGCTAACGCTGCTTCCCACTAATTGGTTCAGGGTCTTGACTTGGGAGGATGGATATTGTTCGATGGATCCCCCGGGAGCGACTCAAAAGGAGCAGAGCGCGGATATTAGCAGCATTGACGGGAACGTTCTCGGCATGGCGGTCGCGAAGATGTCTTATCACATATATTCTTTCGGAGAAGGGTGAGCACTAGTTCGTTAGTGTCTAGGTTTCCTGTAACTCAAGACAGTGTCTTAATCGGCTTGTCTCTCGAAATTTATCCGTGCCTGACTGTGCAGCATCATTGAAACTGGAAAGTCTGCTGTTACCATTGGCGACTCAGATCATCCCTAATGTTTCTTCTGCTTCTCAGAGTTGTGGGAAGAGTGGCTTTCTCTGGGAAGCATCAATGGATATTTGCTCCGCGATCTCAAGGAGTCCCGGGCATGGATTCTCGCCCGGGATTTTCGTCCATGAAGGGATACGGGGGCTGCACGGGTGTCGACAAGGTGTTTATCTAACTTCCATGCTTATCTGATTTTCCCAGCAAACTTTGTTGGTCTTGCCGTTTGTACTAGGCGGTGTTTCTGACGTGAGTCTTCCTTGTGTTTTTTCTCCTACCAGTATCCATCTGGATGGGATGATCAATTTGCTGCTGGAGTGAAGGTGCGTATCGTAGATTCTGTTCGAACTTGTGAACCGCTTGCTGGTTTCGGTCTACTAACGCTACGAAACTGCTGTTTTTGTCTTGACAGACTATTGCCATCATCGCCGTTCCGGAGGGAGTCTTACAACTCGGTTCCAGTCGATCGGTCAGTCTCGAAAGCTGTTTCCGCCGTTAAGTAGATCGACTTTTGGGCTTCCCGGGTTAACATTTGGTGTCTCTCCGTGTTCTGCAGATGCCAGAGGATTTGAAATTCGTTTCTCACATCCGCTCGCTCTTCGCGGCGCTTCAAACAGTCCCCGGAGCGTTTCTATCCGATCTCTTCACCGACAATGCCCTGAAAGCGAAATCTTTTCCCACGCCTGACGCAACCGCGCTTGCAGCCGCCGGATTCCCTCCCGACATCGCCGCGTCTCTTGGCAATCCCAACCCGCAGTCCGATTTCCTCGGCGTCTCCTTCCCCGGAGCTCTCAACCGTCGTTCAGTCCAGTCTAACCCGCAAAGCCTACAGATGCCTGCCCCTGCAGCTGCTGCTCCTCCTGCCGCTCCTCCAGCTCCATCTCGCCCATTCGCGGGGAATCAGCTGGCCGCCTCCTCGCCGTCGGATCTCTTCAGCATTCTCGGCATCCCATCCGACTGTCGTGCCGACGACCAGAACGCTTCTCGGTTCATGGGCTCCGCGGCTTTGAAGCCGCCAGCGGACCCGAAGCAAGAAGCAGCGTCGCTGACCGATTACTCGAGCACGGCAAAGCGAGCGAAGGTCGCTCCGGAGAGGACGACTCGAGCGTCCGTCGCCATTAACCAGATTCAGCTGAATTTCTTCGACTCGGACCTCCCTCTCAGCGGTCCGACTCTTCCCTCCAACTCGCTGAATCACAGCCCTGTGGAGCACACATCGCTGTCGTCCAGGCAATCGCCTCCGACCGAAGCTTCCGCGCACGTGCTCGGCCCGTCTGGCGAGCTGCTGGGAAGAGCAGAGGCGGCCGCGGGAGCGGGAGCGGCGAAGCGGAAGGCGGTGGTGGATCTGGAGAAGGAGCTGCGCATCTTCCACGACCAGTTCCTCAACGACCAATCGCTGTCCCTCGCCAACCTCCCCTCCAGGAGCTCCGCCGCGCAGAAGCCCATGGCGGCGGGGATTGGTTCTGCGTCCGAGCGCGCGCCTGCGCGGAGAAGCCTTGGTGTTGCCGGCGCTTTTTCGGGTCTGGACGAGCAGCTGCTCGCGGGCATGACTGCTAGCGGCATGACTGCGAGCGGCATGACTGGGAGCGGCATGGCTGGCAATCGGAACGGGAACGCTGCTGCGCGGGCGTCTCAGTTCAACAGCACCGGCGGTGAAGCGCTGGGGGGTTCCTCCGCGTTTGGCGGCGCAGATGAGCTCGCGCAGGCCCTGGGGTTGCACTTCACAGGGCAACTGCCCGTTGACTTGGCTGACCTCGCTGACCTGGCAAATCTGGCGGACATTGGCGCGAATCAAGGCTCTGCCAACGGTCAGATGGGAAGCGCAATGAGCCGCGGCGCGTTCGACCAGGCAGGGGCTGTTGGAGGCGCCAGGTGCGGTGCTGATGCCAGTGCGTCGAGGGGAGGGTTCTCCATGACTTCGGGGCTGCCGCAACCACAAGAGCTGCAGCACAGGGCTGGAGTGGCCCCTGCTGTCGGTAGTGCTCTTGGTTTTGACGAACTGAGTGCGTCATTGAGCAGGGCAGGCGCAGTGAACGGCGCTGTGGGGGCGGGGGCGCAAGCAGGAGCGGGGATGGGGAACAGCCTGGCGGAAATGGAACGAATGGCGACCCTGGAAGCTCTCATGCGGACGTCTGGGTTGCTGCCTCGCCTGAGCCTGGCTGAGCTGCAGCAAAGCCAGGTCCGCAGCACTCACAATCCCGTGGCCGGAGCTGCTTCTGCAGCAGCGGAAGCGGCCAGTGCTGGTATGGCGTCAGGCGCTAAGCTTGGGAGTCTGCCTGGGCTTCAGAGCAGGGCTAGCGTTGTTGCGAAGGCTGCGGGGGATAGCGGAAGAGGTATGAGAAGCGTGGAGCCCAGTGGGAAGGGCGTGTTCAAGTCTGAGGCTGCGTTCAAGGCCTTGCCAGATCGATCGGCAAACTCCGGCGTGCAGGAGCTCGGTGTGCCAGAGCTATGTGGTGGTGGTGGTGGTGCTGCTGCTGCTGCTGGGAAGGATGAGAAGAAGGGGACGAAGAAGAGGGGGAGGGAGGAGAAGCCGAAGCAGAGGCCTCGTGATAGGCAGCTGATTCAAGATCGCGTGAAGGATCTGCGAGGGATAGTTCCTAACTCTGAAAGGGTATGTCTGCTCTGATATTCAGACTTATGTTTCTTTTTTCGTTTTCTTTCTCTGATTTGACTTTTTTTTTGTTTCCTGCAGCTGAGTATTGATGGACTGCTGGAACGCACAATCCAACATCTTGTGTTCTTGAGGGAGTTTTCAGCTCTCCGTGCAGACATTGACGAAGGCCAAGCAATGCTGGTGAGTCATAAACTTTTTAAGATCCATTGGCGCCTCACCCCTCCTTTCATTCAGTCTTTTAACTTGCATGGTTTTTGTTTGAACGCAGGCGGAGAAGAGTTTTGATGAATGTATGAATGAATGCCCAGTATCTGTGCAACAACTTTCACCGACCCTAGTTCAAATTAAGGTGAACAGTGTGAGGCTTTTTTGTATGAACTTTCTTTAAATTATGTCGTCCAGATCCGCTAAATAGTGATAACTATTTTTTGTGCAGGTGGAATGGATTGGTAGCACTGTGCCGATTGACCTTGCTGACGGACTTCGCCAGATTGGGCTGGTGGTTCGCAAGTCATCAGTCAAGTCCTCTGGTGGCCGTGTCAAGGCACACATTATTGCTGAGGTGAGTCTTGCATCTCCTGATAGTGTTTCCTGTCCCTTGTCTGCGAGGTCAGTCATTAGGACACAGAACAGGAGGTTTTGTGCGTTGTAGTTAGTCGGGTCGGGGGACTGAAGTGATTACTCTTTTTTTTTTGGCAGTGCAAGCAACCTGTGGAGCGCATGGACATCATGTGGCATGTTCTCCAGCACCTGAAGGATAAGCTGCCAGATATGGCCAATGTGTTTTCTGGGACTGAGAAGCCGATGGAGGCAGGGAAGGTAGATCCTGTCTTTGATCCGGCAGATTCGTGCTGTCAAGTGGTGTATTAAGTCGGGGTCGTGTCTGCCTGAAGTCGCTTAGTCCAAGCCCGTGTATTCTGCTACCGTATTTACATTCGCCAAGTACTGTACCAGGTTTTGCTGATGTTAGCAGAAAATGAAATTTGATGTCCCTGAAGAATGTATATGTAGAGATTATATAATGTTTGTTCTTTCACAATAGCACTTGTGCCAGAGTGAAAGTGCACTATGGTACTACAAATGGAACAATTCATCTGTGACTTCCGGTGTCTTGACTTATGTGTATCAATACATGTACACATGCATATAATCCTCAACAGTGACAAACATTCAGCTTTTGGTCACCATCAGGCGCTTGATGTTGGCGATCTGTTTTCCTGGACTCAACCCCTTGGGACACGCCTTGGTGCAGTTCATAATGGTGTGGCAACGGTACAGCTTGAATGGATCATTCAAATCATCAAGCCGCTGCTTGGTATACTCATCACGGCTGTCCATGATCCACCTGAAACAACAGGAAGAAAAAGGAACGAATACTACGATTAGACGCAACGAAAAAGAAAAAAAACAGAGCACAGAATGGCACAATGAACAAACGACTGGCTGGATTACAATACCTGTTGGCATTCAGAAGCGCAGACGGTCCGAGGTACTTCTCAGGGTTCCACCAATAGCTGGGGCACGAGGTGCTGCAGCACGCGCACAGGATGCACTCATACATGCCGTCAAGCTTAGCCCGGTCTTCCTTAGTCTGAAGAAATTCCTTTCCATCTTCCGGCAGCTTCTTGGTCTTCAGCCACGGCTCGATGGACTTATACTGCTGGTAGAACTGAGTCATATCCACCACGAGATCTTTAATGACGAACATATGGGGTAACGGAGTGATTGGAATAGAAGCTCCAGGAGATGCTTCGATCTTGGTGAGACATGCGAGGCCGTTCGCGCCGTTAATGTTCATCGCGCAAGAACCGCAGATCCCTTCCCGGCAAGATCTGCGGAATGTGAGAGTCGGGTCGACCTCGTTCTTAATCTTAATCAGAGCGTCAAGAATCATGGGTCCGCATTCCTTTGTGTCTATGGTGTAGGTCTGAAGACGCGGCTTCTCGTTCTGGTCGGGATCCCATCGGTATATTGAGAACTGCTGCAGGCCCTTAGGTGCAGCAGCAAGCGCGGGAGTAGATCCGGTCACAAATGTCCTAAAAGGAAGCTTTCCTGACGCAACCGACTTGGCGTTCTGCCGCGCCAAGCGCGCAACAAGGCCTCCCAGCGTCATAGCGTCTCGCGATTTTCAACGCTAAGGACGACCTGTGAGAACTACCGCCGCGGTACGGCCGACGTCGTCCTTGGGTCTGGACGCTAAGGAGCAGTGTAAGACGACTACACGCTTAGCTCCTCGACTGGCTTTTTGAAGCTCCACAGACTTGGTAGTAGGTCCTACATGCGAAAACAGTAAAACATCAATGCTGATGGGGGGTGGGTTAGCTGGCAAAGGAGATTCGTATGGTTGGTTGAAATCAACTAGAAGGTGAATAGGTGGCCTGGCCGAAGGATGTCAATAATCAGTGTGGCTGATACTTAGCTAAGCTCGCTAACATCACTGCGACTGGGTGGGATGGCCTGGAAGATGTCGGGCAGCTGCCAACATCAAGACTGCCACGCCAGCACACAATGACGTAGCAGGCTCGCTTGGGTGTGCGATAGTTGAGGCTTCGATTTTCAGGACAAAACCAGCAATGAGATATCATCTGGGCGACCAGATTATGTCCCAGTTGCTATGGATGCCCAAATAATCCAAGTTCCCTCCCATAACTTATAGTTAGGATATTGGAGGCAGGGTTGTCGCTAGCAGAAATTTTTTGAATGTTTGTCCTATGTTTGAAGGTAATGTTTTGATTTAATCTGATGGTTCAGAAACTTGCAATTGGTAAAATCTGTTCATTCAAAAATGAATTTCCTCAGTGACTGATCCATCAGACACGTTTTCCACGTTCCTCTGATTGATCAGGAACACTTTCCGGTTTCGTCTGTTACCGGATCTTTCTTCCCTTGGGCGTGATTGACGCGTGAACAAGGCGTGGTGTGGGTGTTTCCCCTTGATTATTGGAATGTATGCATCATACATTTCGCGGCACGTGCTCCCACGTGTATCTTTCGCCACCACACCAAAAAAGATCTGCTGCAACGGGCAAACAGTCACGTTATATGTTGTACTCACATGATGTCTGTGTGAGAATAGGAAAACAGGAATGAATGAACTATGAATGAAAGCAGTACAAATATGAAACCCTAACTGGGTTGTACCCCCTATGGGATACCCCACTACAGCCTACACAGCAGTATAAGCTATAGATATGTTCTGACACACCCCCATAGGCAAAGTGGGGGAGAACAAGGGGTCACAAGACCAGTCAAGCAAGACAAAGCAAAGCTCAGGGTGGATCACAAAGTCACCACACAGTCCGAGCACAAGAGCAAGGCCAAAGGCCAGTTCACAAGCAAGAGTACAGACATATATATAAAGCTAGACAAGCAAGAGCAGGTATATATATATGTCACAGTACAAGTGAAGTCAAGAGGAGAGCAAGTGAGGCAAGACAGGCACAAGACCCAGCTGGGTGCAGAAGCGCTGATGGTCACAAGGCGCAAGTGCCTTGGTGAACACATCAGCAGTGTTGGCCTCAGAGGCCACGTACGCAAGTCGCAACTGACCACGCTGCTGCAGCTCACGAGCAAGGAAGTAGCGGAGAGCAATGTGCTTCGTTCTGTGCTCCAAGCGCTGCTCTCGACACAAGGCCAGCATAGCCTTGTTGTCTACGTACAGCACTGGAGGAGAACGAGGCGGCTCTCCAAGGTCAGTCAGCAGGTAGGTGAGCCAGCGAAGCTCCTGTGCAGCCATGGCCCCGGCGTAGATCTCAGCCTCACAACTGGAGCCGAGAACCGAAGACGAGCGAGTAGACCGCCACGAGACAGAGCCGGAACCAAGGCTGAAGGTGTAACCCTGTGACGACCGCTGCGTAGCCTGGTCGTCAGCCCAAGACGCGTCCGCGTGGCCGGTAAGGACCACTGGACTCCGCCCTCCAAGCACTAGCCCCATGCCTGACGTACTGCACAGGTAGCGCAATACCCTCTTCGCTGCAGCCATGTGCTCCGGTCTGTGTCTCCCAGGAGCAACATAGCGTGCAAGAATGCTCAGAGGGTATGCAAGGTCAGGTCGTGTGCAGGTCATCAGGTACATGAGGCAGCCAACAAGCTCCGCATACGGACCACTCGACTCTACGGACTCATCCGAAGGCAGAGCTGAGAGTGAGTGGCGAGTAGGCAGAGGAGTGGCCTGAGGCGAGGAGTACGTGAAGCCGAAGCGCTGAAGGACCTGCTGCACCATGTGTGACTGAGTCAAGGTAATGGTGCGGCGTGCTCTGTCCCGAGTGATCTGCAAGCCAAGGTAGCTGCGCAGTTCACCCAGGTCTGTGCACGTGTGTCTCTTCAACAGCTCGGACTTCACGTAGGCGAGTCCAGCAGTGTCCGCTGTGGCAAAGACCAGGTCGTCGACGTACACGAGGATGTAGAACGGCGGCAGGGAAGTGTCGGTGCGAAGAAACAGCGACGGGTCAGCAGTAGAAGGAGCAAACCCAAGAGCCGCAAGCGTAGTCCTCAGTGTGTCGTGCCACTCACGCGGTGCCTGGCGGAGACCGTAGACTGGCCGTCGGAGGCTCCACTGGGTGCCAGGAGGGAAAGTCCCAGTGAAGCCAGGTGGACGGCGAAGCCAGATCTCCTCGTGCAGGCTACCCTGCAAGAACGCAGTGCTGAAGTCGAGAGAGTGAAGCTCGTAGTCGCGCTGAGCGGCTATGTGCAGCAGCACCCGAAGAGTAGTCATCTTCGGGGTGGGAGAGAAGGTCTGAAAGTAGTCAACTCCCTGCCGCTGACTGAAGCCACGAGCAACGTACCGTGCCTTGAAGACAGGTGGAGAGCCCGGCGGCCGCTTCACCCTGAAGATCCACATGCCACTGACGATGTTCGCCCCAGGAGGGGGAACCGCGTCAACGTAGGTGCCTGTGGACTTCCAGGAAGCCATCTCTGCATCCATAGCTGCCTGCCACTGAGAGGAGTAGGGACCCTCTACGGCCTCCGCGTAAGAACGCGGAGTCGGGATGTCTAGTGCATCCGGGTCTCCCTCAGGGGCAAGCAGTACAGACGCGAGATGAGGTGAAGCAGCCGCTAGACACTGTAACTCCTCCTGCCTGTCCTCTAGGACGTCCGTGCCAAGAGCACACTCACCCCCGACGGACGGAGGACAGACAGACGCAGACTCAGCAACAAGACTAGCAGCGTAGTCGAGACGACAGCGAGCAGCAAAGTCGACGAGCTCAGCGACTAGAGCAGACGCAGTAGTGGACTCAAAAGAGGGGTCAGTGACGACAGTAGCAAGCAGACGCGTGACAGTGGGACTGGCAGCACGAAGAGAGTCCGACTCAGGGTCCGCAAGTGCAGGAAGAGAGGACTCAGGAGGAGAAGGCAAAGGGGCACGCAGAGGAGCAGTGGACGGACGTAAAGACATCCGGTGCGTGCCAGGGACAGGAGGAGGACGCTGACGCGAACTGCGACCACTAGCGCGAGCAGCACGAACAGGCGACGCGGGACGAGACGCAGGCTCACGACGCTCAGCAAGACCTCCAGTAGGACCAGTGTAAGGAGAGGGAGCAGGCAGCGGAGAGGAAGGCTCCAGTAGGGGCTGCGACTGGACAGGCGGTGGACCCTCTATTGGACGAGAAAGACCAAGAACCTGCTGCAGGAGCGGAACGAAGTACGGCCGAGGCCGCGCGGCAGCTCCAGACTCAGCAGGGACAGCACCAGCACCCTCAGCGACAGCACCAGCGCCACCCACACCTCCAGCGGCAGGACCAACAGCAGCAGGCTCAGCACGAACGCCCTCAGCAGCTCCAGCTCCAGGAGGACCTGCAGGGCCAGCAGCTCCGGGACCGGCTGCACCCGCACCCTCGACGGTCGAAGAAGCTCCAGCTCCAGCTCCAGCAGCACCTCCAGACTCAGCAGCACGCCTCCAGCGGCGAGCGAACCACTCGCGCAGCTCCTGTGGAGAGAGGGGCTCCCGGCGAGACGCAGTAGCAGGAGAAACCCCAGGCTCAGCAGCTCCAGACGCAGCACCCCCAGGCTCAGCAGCTCCCAGCTCAGCACCCCCAGGCTCAGCAGCTCCCGACCCAGCACCCCCAGACCCAGCACCTCCAGGCACAGCACCCCCCGGCTCAGCACCCCCAGGCTCCGCACCCTCCGCAGTAGCACCCTCAGGCCCAGCACCCCCAGCAGTAGCACCCCCAGGCTCAGCACCCCCGCGCACAGCACCCCCAGAGTCAGCACCCCCAGGCTCAGCACCCGCAGCAGCACCAGAGTCACCAGTAACCTCGACCGGGTCAACGGCGTCTACCTGGGACACACCTGAGGGGGCAGGAACCTGAGGGGGGAGGGGGTCTACCGGGGGGGGAACCGGCACAAGGAAGTCCGGGGGAGGGGGGAGGGAAGGAGTGCGGTAGGTGAAGAGACGGTAGAAGGGGACTGCCTCGTCGAACGTGACGTCCTGGGAGGACAGAACACGACGAGAGGAGGGGTGGTAAAACTGCCACCCTGGGGCGTCAGTGGGGAAGCCAAGGAAGACACAGGGAGCAGCACGAGGGGACAGCTTGTCCGCAGACAAGTCGCGGACAAACGCCCGAGATCCCCAGACACGGAACACAGACGCATCGCCAACCTTCCCCGTCCACAGCAAGGCTGGGGACATCGCTGGCCGAGAGACCCGGGGGTGAAGGTTGAGCTGATGCGCCGCGTACCTCACCGCAAACGGCCACAGAAAATGGGGGGCAGCCGCATGCATCATGGACGTACGAGCGACATCCATGACCATGCCAATGCGGCGCTCAGCAATCCCATTTTGCTGTGGTGAGTCCGGAAGCGTGAAGGTCTGGCGGATCCCCCGTGCACGACAGTAGTCTCGCAGAAGGCGAGAAGAGAACTCTCCGCCTCTGTCAGAGTGCAGACGCAGAACAGGAAAGTCCGAGCCGAAGCTCTTCCTGAGCTGGAGACGAGCCTCGCGGATCCAGTCGATCAGCACCTCAGTGACCGCACCCTTGCTGCGCAAGGGGAGGACTGTGGTGTAACGCGAGTAGTCGTCAACCACCAACAGGAAGTAGCGCTTGTAACCCTGCCCACGGACGGGGGCTGGGCCCCACACATCCATGTGAAGCGTCTGCAGGGGAGCCTCTGTCG